TCGCTGATGACACCAAGTTGTGGGGCGAGGTGGGCATGCTGGAGGGGAGGGACAGAATCCAGCTAGATCTAGACAGGTTACAGAGGTGGGCGGATGAGAATAGGATGGAATTCAACACAGACAAGTGCAAGGTGCTGCATCTAGGGAGAAAGAACCAGCAACACACCTACCCATAGGCTGGGGGACACCTTCTTGTCAACACGGTGGCTGAAAGGGAACTTGAAGTTATTGTTGATTCCAGGATGAACATGAGCCGCCAATGCAAGGAAGCGGTCACCTTGTCATGCATCTATAGATGCATCACAAGCAGGTCCAGGGAGGTGATCCTTCCCCTCTACATGGCATTGGTCAGGCCACAGTTGGGGTCCTGCATCCAGTTCTGGGCACCGCACTTCAAGAGGGATGTGGCTAGCATTGAGAGGGTCCAGAGGAGAGCCACTCACATGGACAAGGGGCAGCAGGGCAGGCCCTATGAAGACAGGATAAAGGGCCTGAACCTATTCAGCCTCCACAAGAGAAGCCTGAGAGGGGATCTGGTGGCTATTTACAAACTCACCGGGGGGACCAGCGGGAATTGGGGGAAGCTCTGTTCCCCCGGGCACCACCCAGGGTTACTAGGAATAACAGCCACAAATTGTTAGAGAAGGTTCAGGCTGGACATCAGGAGACAACATTACTTTACAGGTAGCGCTGCCAGGCTCTGGAATGGGCTCCCAGGTGATGTGGTGCTCTCTCCTACCTTGGGGGTCTTCAAGAAGAGGCTGGACAGATATCTGGCTGGGGTGATATGATCCCAGCACCTGTTCCTGCCCGGGGCAGGGGGTTGGACCTGATGATCTGTTTAGGTCCCTTTTGACCCTAAGCACTATGATACTATGATACTATGGGGAGTCTGTTAAAAAAGGGGGGTCACAGCTGAGATTCTCATGTAATACCTGCTCCCAAACAGACACTTAGACCCTGCAATCAAGGACTGTATTAAAATAGGACTAAGTGAAATGTATTGGCACTACGGAAAGGCAGAAGAGATGTGTGGACACGCCGGAGGGCAGGGAACAGCTGTAAGCAGATCTGGACAGGTTGGACAAGTGGGCAGAAAACAACAGAATGCAGTTCAACAAGGAGAAATGCAAAGTCCTGCACCTAGGGAGGAAAAATGTCCAGCATACCTACTGCCTAGGAAATGACCTGCTGGGTGGCACGGAAGTGGAAAGGGATCTTGGAGTCCTAGTGGACTCCAAGATGAACATGAGTCGGCAGTGTGACAAAGCCATCAGAAAAGCTAACAGCACTTTATCGTGCATCAGCAGATGCATGACGAACAGATCCAAGGAGGTGATACTTCCCCTCTATCGGGCGCTGGTCAGACCGCAGTTGGAGTACTGCGTGCAATTCTGGGCACCGCACTTCAAGAGGGATGCGGATAACCTGGAGAGGGTTCAGAGAAGGGCCACTCGTATGGTTAAGGACTTGCAGGCCAAGCCCTACGAGGAGAGACTAGAGAACCTGGACCTTTTTAGCCTCCGCAAGAGAAGGTTGAGAGGCGACCTTGTGGCTGCCTATAAGTTCATCACGGGGGCACAGAAGGGAATTGGTGAGATTTTATTCACCAGAGCGCCCCGGGGAGTTACAAGAAATAATGGCCATAAGCTAGCAGAGAGCAGATTTAGACTGGACATTAGGAAGAACTTCTTCACAGTTCGAGTGGCCAAGGTCTGGAACGGGCTCCCAAGGGAGGTGGTGCTCTCCCCTACCCTGGGGGTCTTCAAGAGGAGGTTAGATGAGTATCTAGCTGGGGTCATCTAAACCCAGCACGCTTTCCTGCCTATGCAGGGGGTCGGACTCGATGATCTATTGAGGTCCCTTCCGACCCTAACATCTATCAATCTATGAATCTATATACAAGGAGCTAGGGTTTTAAGAAAAACAGCAAACATCACAAGAGTTGGCAACACTCAAATCCCCAGTTATAGGAAAAGAATATTAAACGGATATCATCAATCTATCTAGATCCAGGAAGTGAGCCACAAAATGCTGACAAAGGGGAATATTTGGTCAGATAATCATGGCATATTTATCTTTTAAACTATGAATAATGGAGTTATACTGAAGAGACTTATTTTAACTCTGAACTGTAGTAAAGTATCTATCGAGGGCAGTCAGCCCCAATTCACCATAACATCTGAGCACCTCAGGGTAGCAGAGACTGAGAATATATTCTACCAGCTATTTTAGAAAGTAACACTTAAAAGAGATAATTATTTTAACCTTGCAAGAGAATGATCTAAGTAACATGAGCATGAAATGCAGAGAGCAGAAACTGAACTTTTGGAATACCTTTAGTACTCATTACTGCTATGGTCTAGCATTCGCTACTTTACTTTTCCTCCTTAGTTTCCACTCCATAAAGTGGTCATATACTCCTAGAATACTGCTAAATATTACCAGGAAGTTTCTTGTTAAAACAGGTTGGGGAAGGGGGTTATCCTTTCACAACTGCCCATTTCCAGTGAAGACACTTCTGTCCAAATCCATCCCCACCTTTAGAAGGGCAAGTAGCACTGCCCTTCTAAAGCACTAACTTTCACCAAGTGGCATTTCATGCCAGTATGCAGATTTTAGATCCTACTCCTCCCAAAAAAGCACCCCACAGAGCCCAGTATCTCCAGCTCCAGTGTACTTAACAGCAGAGGTGTGGGGGAGGTCATTCATCCCCAGTGTCCTCGCCACCCCAGTTCCAGGTCTGGAGTGTGTGGAGCAAGAACAGGTTGTTGTTCCTATACACTAAATTATCAGTGGCAGCCTCAAGAGAACTACAGAGGCAGTATAAACATGCCCTAATATGATTGTGCAGACAACCTCTCACTGCTGAAATACGTGTCTCAAGGATCCTCCTAAGCAAGTTCCTAATTGCATGGCAAGTGCTTTTCTGCTCCAGTTACAGCACACATTCCAGTCTACGCTGCATGCAAACCCAGAAGTAATTTAATCCAATAAAAGACAGATTCCATAAAAAATACCTGAACTGAAAAGATTAATCTTTAAAATGTTCTGATCTCCTAGAAACTGTATTAGTAAATTGTACTGCAGCATTAATTTAATAGTGGAGGAACAATCAGCTTACCTTTATGGAAGAGATCCAGGGAATGGCAATGAAGCTGATACCTTGTAACAGAAGACCCCATTATTGACCTGTGTGGAAGAACCGGGCAATTAAATAATTTAAACAAGGATTAGGATAAGCTCTGAAAAATACTACTGTGCTTTTTGTGTTTTAAATGCACCCCCCTAATGAAAAATGGGAATGGGAGAAGGGGGCAAAGGGAAACAGATTAAAAATTCCTACAGGCAAATCTCTCTGAGCCAAAATTATCTTAATCCTCAGGGGAAAATCTTTTCCCATAGAAGGAAGAAGGAGGAGCACTGTAAGGGTAGGAACAATGAACATCCACCCTCTGCAAACTGGACCTTTTTAGGATATCTCAGAGGGAGGCCCCAAATCACCTGTCTCAGAAAATCTTGGCCCTCATAACTATTGTTACATTGGAAAAGACCAGTCAGGATGGTTTTAACCCTGAGACAGAGTGGCTGGAAAGTGATCTAGAGCCATAGTTGCTGACTGTCATTTCATTTTATAATGGCCAGCAACTTCCATATCCAAATGAGACTCGCGTGATGTTTGCAGAAAAGGTCTATTTTACTACAGAAGACAAAAATCCACCTAGCATTACTAAACCTGTCTGACATTGTGCATCTGCCATACTATGGTTGCTTGTGTATTACCTAAGCTACATGGCTTTGGAAGCAAGAAGAAAAGTTTACAAACAATGGTGCTCAACCCTTTTGTCCCATGAGCCGGATGAGTGGTGCCAGGTTGGCCCACGGGCCAGATCTACCCCTTGGGCCAATCCATCACATGGTGCTGACCCAGCTGGGACCCAATCCTGCCTGAGTAGGGCTTAGAAATTTGGCAGTGGGGGAGCCCGGGCAGTACTCATTGCCACTGCTCCCCTGCTATCGAATTTCTGGACCTGCGGGCCAGAGTCAGCCCACGAGTCAAGGGGTTTAGAAGAATCAGAATGCAATGAACTGAAAATACTCTTTTTCAGTTTATTACAGAAATAAGCTCGAATAACTACAGGTGAGCATTCACCCTGGTCCTAATCAGCAAGTGGGTAGAACATCAGCACTTTAAAACCATCTTGTGTAGCTGGAGCACAAGGGTTATTGGAAAGTGCGTTTATGAATGTTTCAGTGGAAACCATTTCCCTGCTTCTGAGCAGCCAGCAGCAGCTTTGTGGGACGTACAGCGCTTTCCTCCTCAAGAGCTCCCTTCGGTCTTTATTTAATCCTCAATTATACACATGACTTCAGCCTGGAAAGGCCTTCAGACAAAGGCTTTCAGTCAGCTGGCTCTGAAGTGGAGGCTTGTGTTGCTCTGAGTCTGGCTGAACAACTCATGTGAAGAGCACGAAACTTGTCCCGGGCTCGGACGACGCGCGGAGGCAGGGCTGGGCGCCGCAGCGCGGGGTTTGAAGAGGCGCTAGCGGGGCTGCAGCGGCCAGAGGGACATGACCCCCAAACACAACCCCCCAAAAGCATCTGCCCCGTCCCAGGAAAAGGCCCCGGCCGGCTGCAGCGCGGATGCCGTGAAGGGGCGGGGGGAGGGGCCGCCCTCGCCTCG